TATAGCCACTGACAGAACGTAGACGAAATAGTATATACAAAACCACGCGCAAGAATCAAGAAGGAAAGGCCTTTCCGTCTGACGATACCCAATGGCAACCGCTGCAACGGCCGTGAGCGGTCATCGTCCACTGCTCTTCTGTCAGAGAATGCGTTACCTGGACTGTCACTGCGGCAACTGAGGGCAGAGGCAGACGCCATTCTCTCGCCCACGGGACAGAAGGTGTGCCCCTGAGGCTGTGTGCTGTGCGTCTATGAGACTGTGCACGTGTGAGTTGTTATAACACCCGCATAGGTGAATGTGCATGCTGGGGTGGATGTCAGTTCGGGCGTAGCTGTGAATGGACAGTGTGTCGAGAGTGTGGCATGTGCGCATGTTACTGCATTGACTCCCTGATTGGACTTGGCTCATTGGGTTTTAGGGGTTTAAGGTTTTAGTAAACCAATTGATTGCTTGTTCCACACATTGCCTGATATTCGTCGCCACCGCTTTTCTCTCCATCGACGATTGATACTCCCACACTCTTGGCGTACTCGTGACACCGCCATACAAGTGACACGCGATGCCTTCATACGCAGTCGCCTTGCACCCCGCAAACCAACCCGTAAACCTTTAAACCCCCTATAAACTCTACAAACCCTAAAAATCCTAATCCTAATCTAACTACCCAACCCACGACAACCCCAGCCGCTCACACTGTTCAAATGCATTGATCACGGCGACAACTACGGCAACCCCTTCTCGGTAGTGCATAGCAAGTACTCGCTGCCCCCAGATGTCAATGTGGCTCTGGCGGGTCTGCGTGTGGCGGGTGTCACCCCCACATCGCCCACAGCACGCGTCCATGCCATCACCGGCACCGTGCTCGTGCGCAATCTGTCCTTTCAAAAGACCGTCTTGGCCAGGCATGTGTGTGTGTGTGTGTGTGTGTGTATGCGTGCGTGCGTGTACATGTATGTGTGTGTATGTGTGTGTGTGTGCGCGTGCGTGTATGTGTGTGTTTGTGTGTGTGTTTATGCGTGTGTGTGTCAATTATGGTTTCGTGGGGCTATGTCAGAGTGTGTATATGTGTTGGTGTGTGAGTGTATATTGAAGGTTAAAATGTGCTTTCAGGTAGGTTACACTGGCTGATAAGATTGTTGAGTGGTATTGACTGGAAGTTGGTTGGTACTTACTGGTTACTAATTGGTAATGACTGGTGATTGATTGGTAACTGATTTTATTGACTGGTAGTTGATTGGTATCTGCTGTTATTGACTGGTAGTTGAATGGTGTGTCTCTTTTATCTGTGCTCCGTGTGAGAGCACTAATGAGTGGCTTGTTGCCCTTTTTTGTCAAAGCATTACCAGAAAGTTATGCGACCACTACTGCAACTTAATTTGATGCGTATATATTGTGTTAGATGGTGCTATAGATGAGTCAGTCAACAGTTGGATTCCCTATATCTAGCTCTATGGGCAATACCTGCTACGGAAGGTTCCTATGTATGCTTCATGGTTTGTTGACTAGCCTTGTGATACATCAGACATGCATGGATATACGCATGATGCATGATCGTTCCTTATATCTTCATTACATTAATTAACTAGCCTGGCCCTAATCCTAAGACCCTAAAACCCCGAAACCCCCAAACCCTCATTTGGCACATATGTGATTGTACCTACCCCGTCCTCACATATAAGGCCTGCACGAACATACACGCACGTCTTAACGCTCTTGGGTAATATTTTAGCATGTATATCACCTGCACGCACACGTATCGCATGGCTTTGATGACTTTGACGGTCATATTCAAATGCGTCTTTTCTGCGGTCTTGGGCTGCACTGTTTAGGTGGACCATCAACGATTGGGAAACGTACGAAGACGTGGCAGCTGACTTCTCCGAGCATCATGCGCAAGGAGGGTATGAAACCGATGCCACAGACGAGTTTGTCTTCAAATTCGATGTCAACACCGACAGCCCGGCAGCGGCCCCAGGGAGAGGTTAGTTGTTGTGTTCGGTACGTGCATGTGTAGCGATTGATAGATATGTCCCCACCGGAAGTTGATTGTCTCGGGCTCCTCAGGCAGTGTGTAGTTATATTATTTGAGAATGAATTGCTGATATCCATTGCGAGAATGATTTGTGTACGGTCATGGAGACCGACGACCTGTAATCGTTTGCCTTTGTATGTCGAATGATGGTTTCAGGGTTTCCAACATCTTAAACGTTTTAGAATTGACGTTTTGCGACAATTTCACTTTCGTTTGACATAATTTGCTCGTACATTACTAAAGATCAGGTCAGCTACCTGCTGCTGTTGTGTTGGGTTTCAGAGTTTTGTAGTCTCCAGTGCGCTTGATATGGTGGTTCTGTGTACTCCTCTCTTCCAGGTACGCTCAGAGTTACCATTATGTGAACCGTATCTTAAAATGCCTGCATGCGCAACACCAAACACGCGCTGGATATCATGCGAAGTCCGGTGCTATCTCTTTCGCCTGTGTGGATTGAGTACACACCACACAGATCAAACATGATATTCAATACATGAATACGAACATCCATACCCGGTCCCTCCCAAGTTGCTGATACACAACACATACACAACAGAAGGCGCAGCGCACACGACTACGGGGCCGCTGCAACGCTCGGGATCCATTACACACATTCTGCAAGTGGCTGTGTGCTTTGTAAGCACGCACTCCACTCCCGGTCTGCCGATAGTCACGAAGGAGTACTGGGACAACAACCGCGGCAGCAACTATGTACTGGTGCTCAGGTAGCTGAGTGCACGCACAAAACATTAGTACGTAGTTTGAGGCAACACCATTTAGTGTTGCAATGGCAATGCCCCATCACCGCGCGTTTCTGATGCACACCCAAAGGGGGGGCCATGGGATGACTAGGCTTTCATGAGGGTACTTCGGCCATCGTTGCCAGCGTTAGCCTTGCACTTGTGTCTCATCGCCCGAAGCATACGGGTGCAACCATAGCCGACCTCGCGCACACTGAAGGTATGCATTGGCTTGCATTGAGCTAGTGGTAAGGTCTCATTGGAGGACGAAGTGATGGCAGATGGTGGATGAGCAATTCAGTGAATGGTCACCTCCAGTAGACTTTAGTCATGTTCACCTTGTTCGTGCATGATAGATCCAGTGGTACGCCTACAGTTACGGGTGAGGATGTGTCTGCCAAATGTAGGCCGGCTATAGACGTCCCAGAAGTGGAATTATAAGTACTGGGGGCTTCAGCATGTATTGTGCCCTGCGACGGATATACAACCCGTTGTATGGACTACAGGCTACGGACATTACATCGAACACAGTTATGTGGAACAACTTCAATGCGAACACAGCTATGGAGAACCCGCTTCGATGATATACGGATAGTCGTCGATGCATATCGTTTGAACAGCAGTCGCATCACTTACGATGGAGTATCAGTTTACAATACCTATAGCCAGCAGACACCACAATTGCACAGCTGTCACACACAACAGACTTGCAATCGCAAATACGCCAATGCGTGAGAGAGAGTTCAATCTCGGTGCGTCTGCTTGGCTGAAAGCACACAGTGCAGAGCGCCACTGATTGCGTCGCACCAATCAATCTACTGCGCGCACACACCATTCTACTACAGACCATACTTCGGCCCTAAACTAGAATCCGGAGGCATACTGTGTTATGGCGCACAAATGCTGGACTACTGTGGAGAATTTTGGGTTATCAGCGAGCTGATATGAATGGACATGATTCAAATATCCTCTAGTCCATGTGAGGCTGATACCTAGAAGGTGTCCAGATGGTATAACATTTGAACAACAAAAGGGCGGCGTTACAGACGCTGCCATTGTCGATGCATAAAGCAATATCATTATTGGACATGATAATTGACAGCGAAGTCCTTTAAGGTCGCGAGCGAACGGAATGCTCTACCAGGTACAGGCGAAAACTATGGCAACTTTTTTAAAGATTTCTGAAAATTGAGAAACAAGTAGGAGGATATCAAATGGTTGGATGAAGCCAATTAAATTTATGGGTTTTAGTGAATAACAAGCTGGAGCATCCGAAGACGAGATGGGGACTGAAGTCTGAATGTGCCGAAGGTCAGCGTATTTTAAAACTAATTTAGTAAAGTTCACCGTTCTCCTTATGTACAGGCTTTGTTGAATTTTTGTTATATATATATAAACAATAAATCACAAAATTGTGTTCAATTTTCAGAATGTCACACGGCCATCTTGACGGCAGGCCCCCTGACTCAAAAACATGAACTATTTTTATATTTGTAAGGTGCCTCCACTTTGCACCGAACTTCTACAGGGTTGCGAAACCCTAAGGACAGAAACGTGAACCCTGGAAAGTGGAGACTCACTCTGACCCGCATATGTTCATAATAATATGACAAAGGGTTAGCCTATATATATGTCGCACAGTATGGTAGACTCCTCCTTTGGTTTGACCTAGGAGTAGTCTACACATTACTGACAATTTCCAGGATGAAAGTTCAAGTGTAGATTTGGGCTTTTGCGTCTTACTTATTACAAAATACCGATCATGTATATATTGGTCGCGACATTTTCAGTCAAATTTGTATAGCACACACAAACACATCCCAGAAGTGGCTGAAACAGCCCCAATCGTCCACTTCACGCTACTGCTGCCACCGATCCTAGTGCAGCTGGTGCTGGTGGTGCAGCCGTGGATGCCTTGATCAGCGCTAGCAATAGGTATCGTCTATCCTGAACCTTTGCGGTCTTATCGAATTGTACACCGCGGCTGGTTAATTCAGCATTCACACGACCATCCATAACCCATGCACCAGATCCCAGACTTCTAGCTAGTACAACTCGCATAGTAGCTATGTTCGACCAGTTGCCAGAAAAGGCCAGATTAAAGCGCTTCAATTTCAAGAACACACTCAAAGTGGCTCATAGACAACATATCACGCCATCGATCATGAGTAAAGTTGGGTCCGCCAGTAACTGAAGACTGTACGTTATGTAAAAAAATGAAAATATCTTCTTTTATATGGGTATGACAAGGGATCGCACTTCCTCTTTCCTTTAATTGTTGTTTTATGCTAGAAAGCAACGATTTTCACCGGGCTTTTTGTTAGATGAACAGAAATACAGCACTCATCTGCTGCC